AGCTGTGAGACTGCTCTTCCAAATGGGCTCAGAGAGTGGGGAAGATACCCAAGACCCTTGTGTCCTTCCTGGGAAGCTCCACTGGGAAGGAGAGCAATGCTCTGGCCCTGCTCATGGAGAGCATCCACAGGACTGAGTGGGATTTTAGTGCATCAAAAGAGTCCTGAGCAACATCCTGCATCCCAGGGGAAGTGATGCTGCTCCACACCTGCAGAGGTACATCACATCCCTCCCTCCCAACACAACAGGGAATGTTGGTACAAGGCTCACAGGGAAAGCTCCTGCCAGTTCTGGCTGACACTCCCTCTGCCCTCCCATTCTGCTCTTCAGAGAGGTGACTGACAGCTCCAATGCAACCCCTGGAGCAGCAAAGGGGAGGAATTGGCTGGATTTGGTGGGAAATGCCCCAAAGGTATCACTAGGGAACTGCAGAGGATGAGAGCACTGGGACAGCCTATAAACACATGTAAAATCAATCTACTCCATTTCACTCCTCCAAAGGAAGATCAGTGCATCCTATGGCTTGTCTGCATGGATTCAAAGCTGCTGCGTGAGGATCAGCAACCCTTTCCTCAGCCCAAGCTCTGAACAACTTTAGGCTGAAGCTAGATTCCTCACCTGCTCCTCTCCATGTGTCAGGGCTGTGCAGAGCAGACAAAGATCAAGACTTGCTTGCACAACCAGCCTGGCTTTTACATCTGAGCTGCTTTCCTTCCCCCAACAACACCTTGAATCATGTATACCCTTTGGGGTCTGCACAGAGAGGACACTAGATACCAGCATAGGGCACATCTGCCTCCTTAGGAGCTTTCACTTTAAGACTGGTGCTACTCTGTGATTGATTTCCTTGAGGGAAACATTAGGGTCTGCAATGTAAGTCTTGGATGTTACTTAAATCAGGAGTTCTTCAAGCACAACTTTTATCTAGCAGGCAGGAACTGTATCAGATGCTTTCTCAAGCATCATTGCTGCTGTGGTTTTAATTTGATATACCAAAGCAGATGCCTGATGTTACTATGAGCCTTTCTGAAAGGTTCACCAGCAAAAAAAGTCATAGTAACACCAAGGTTGGAAGAGAAAATCTTCAGGTGATTGTCCCTCCAACATCCACACACACTCCAGGTACTGCAGGAGGAGGCAGCAATCACTGGGGGCCTGTTTTGTACTCAAATTAAATGTTTATTTAATCTTACTTGGCTTTCCCTGCAGATAATCCTCAAACAAATAAATAAATTCAGAGCTCTGTGATAGCAGAAAAGATTTGAGAGGCCTTGTCTAAGCTGCCCCAGGAGCTGTCAGAGCACTGAGCCACATCAGCACCTGCAGAGTGAAAGAAATGCTCCAAACTTGCAGGCACATCTGCCTGCTGCAGAGCTCAGCAG